ATGTGTGTGTGTGTGTGTGTGTGTGTGTGTGTGTGTGTTTGGCGCGTGTGTACTTGCACTGCGGAGTAAAGGGCAACTTATGCCTATGCATTGTTCCTTACTTTTTCTTGACGGGGCGATCGAACTGCGCTTACAATGATCCATTAATTAATAAAGCACTTAAAGATCATGGGTTGGGAAAGAGCATACACAACAGGCGTTGTTGTTGCTGACACCGTTCGTTGCTGTGGCAGTTGCATTTCGCTATCTCAGAACTACAAAGTTCTATCTGGCACTTTTGGCCTTTTTGAGTTCCATACTAAGTAAGACCATGAGGTTAGGGAAGAAAAAAAAAGATCTATCTGCTCTATCAGAATCGTAAGATTATACGGAGTCGGTATCAAGAAATGCATTCAAAAAAGCTTGTCAAGATGTAAAATTCAATAATTTTCACGTCAAATTTTCACAAAACTATAGGTACTGAGCAAATAGAACTTTGTAATTCTGAAGTAGCGATTTGTTTATTAAACAGAGAGAATAGACGGTGATGGAATATATCTACATTCTGTAGAATAAATCCCGTTGGCCGTGGCAGGGTTACCCGGGGTCGATGACTAATGAGGATACAACGTCCCTGCAGATAGACAAAGATACTCTATAAACAAAACAAAAACCTCTTCACACGAGAATTGAACTCATAATGATATCTTCGGGGAGCGACGGCGAAGCATCTAACAGCTACACCACAAACGCCGATAGTCAACATGATAGTGGATACATCTTCTTGGAACAAATGGCGTGAGTTTAACTCCTCTATCAATACTACTAGGTTATTTTAGAGGTGGGAGCTCCAAGTTTAACGTCCATCTCCAAAAGAATCGAAGGACCGAGCCAAGTGGGGATTTCGTGTAAAGTGCCTTTCCCAAGGACACAACGTCAGACAGAGCTGAGGTTCGAACCCCCGAACCCGCAACCTGACGAGATTACGAGTCCGGTTGTCTAACCACTAGGCTACCGACACCACTCACATCTTCTTGGAAACAGATTAAGGATAACAATACCGACTGAAAAGAGGCAGGAGAAGCAGACCGTGAAATAAAAGCTTTAACATCTGATCTACATTTTAAATTTTATGAAGAAATTATCAATGGCCTCTGTAATCTGTAGTGTAGCAGATTGGCGCTTCGCCTTCACGCGCAGAAGACCTGGCTTTGATTCTCGTGTGGGGAGAATTGTTATCGAGCGTCTTTCTGCTGGGACGCTGTATCCTTCTCAGCCCGGGTTGGCCCTGACAATGGGGTCGCATCCCACCTCTAAAATGATTTGAATTGTGTCATTGGGGGCGTAAAACACGCAAATGGTTGGCGGGCGCTTTGTTGTGGTTTGCTCCTTCTTTTCTATCAAACACCTATCGTCCTCATCTCTCCTCTTTTTTTAAATGTGTTACTCTCCTGTAGTACCTCTAACTGTAATCTTTGGTAGGCCTACTTATACATGTATGACCTAAATGTGTTCTAAATGCAGTAAAACGCTTTCTAAAGCAAACAACCTTGGGTAATTAATACCACGACACCTAATCGTGCCTGATTGTCCTACAGGTAGTATAATTTTTGTCAGAATGTCATCTTCGACACAAAGTAGGTTACTAAACAGCCGGGACTTCCAATAAACGCCCAAATCTGGCAACACTGGGCCCAAAAACGGTGGGCTCACTTTCGGTCAGTTACCGGTAGATGTGTAGCCAAAAGAAAAATACAGGGTGATCCCCCAAAAAAGTAACAAGTTTTGTAAATATCTTTCTCCACACCGAATTTTTGTGATCAAATTTTCACACAGCATTCTGATATTTATTTTTAGATAAATCAACAGAATAGTTTTTCTCTACATAGCGCCTAAAAAACAACAACCCATTTTCAGCTAGATCGATGTCCCTATATTTTGTAGCAGGACGCACTAGTGCGCGTTAAGCCCACCATGACTAAAAGTCCCAACGATTTGGGCCTTATTGCAAGATACAGTAGTCGAACAGGCCAACAGAAGTTTGCAGATAGTTTTTCTCAATTTTCCTTTGCCTGTTGAGATCATGGTAAGATTAGTAAAGAATAGAGAGCTTTTTGTATTGAACATTTCCTCACAACCAACTCATTTCGCAAGTTTCGCACAAGGCGCGAAAATAATGTTAACGTGTCCTTAAAGACCTCTTTCGATGTCAAGGGTTAAAATCGTCCATCTGTTAGGACCTGTAGAGAATCAGAACCCAAAAATTCCCAAACAAAATGACCACTTCAGGTCAAGCACACACCGTTCGCACCCCTTTAAACGTCACGAGGCTGCAGCATTCAGTAGATGAGCCCCATGAGACGTCTGTCCGTAGACAATGTCTGCAGCCAAGACTTTCCTGCATGTCAACGGTCTGCATTCTCAAGGTAGATCTTCATCTACGACTGTACCATTTTCCTGTTCGGGAAGCTGACAGGATAGCAATGTGTTCATGATTCCTCCATCATATTGAAAAAGCCCATAATATGCACCTTTCAGAATAATATGTTAACTCCACAAGTGCTGTCTATTTTGGGCAACCTCACACTACCCCCTATTATCTCTAGAAACAACTCCATACTTTAAGGTGTACAGTGTGTGTGGCTTTGAGTACTCATGGTTGGGAGGATCCTTGTGTTCGGTGACCCCTGAACATTACGAATGACGCGTTAAAATGTGTCGAGTCCAAAGAAGGACATATAGAGCACTGTTTCTCGGAATTCCAAAAGAAGTATCATTTTAAAAATGTATCAGGGATGGAACGATTAGATCTAGGTTTTAAAATGAAATGGAAGAGAAAAGAAAAACCAACCACCTCATGGCTCTCCTTACAAGATCTTTTAAATTGGTGCATTTTGCGTTTAAAGGTATTTTGTTTTTCTAAAAGCCATTTCCGTTTTCGAAAACAAGATTTTTCTCTATGAATTTTATGTCAAACAAATTTCTCTTGGATGAATTAGATCTATAACTGTTCCAAAATTACAACATTCTATTGAAAATTTTGTGCGAGATATTCAGGAAAAAAAGTTGTTTAGCTGTTGTTGTTGTTGGTTTTTTTGGTTTTTTTAATCACTCTAAATAAATAAATTTGGAGATGTAAAACCACAGAGCAGCACACAGAACTCATTTTCAAGGAAGAACAACAGAACGCTCTCCATACTTCCTGATCGAATATTGACTCTTTAACTTCAACGTCTTATTCTTGAAGTCCTTAATCAACAATGTCATAGACACCAGCACAGAGACGAAACAAGAGTATAACATTGCAGTTTGGTAAGGTGTGATATTACGGTACGGTTTGCTTTGGTATTATATAGTCTATTCTGTCGTGTAGCACAGTCGCGTGACGTGGCTTAAAATTCTCCAACCATCCCATCCGCTCGATCATGTGACCTCATACCATAAATCATTCATAAGTACCTTGACATATAGATCTATGTGGACAAGCAATGGGACCCAACACTCAAAACTTTGTAACTCTGAACACACAACATCAACGATTCTGTGGTATTCATGGACAGCAGTTGTTTTATTGTCAAGAGTTGCAATAAAAGTGGACAACAGAATGATATAAAAGTCTTTTAACTCATTCTACGTTTACACTTTTACACTGAGTGTGCTAACAACAGGCTCACAGATACATACGTACTGAGACAGGAGGAAAAAGTACAGACGAGCGAACAGATGTATAGTCAGTCAATCTACAAGGTACAGCCAGCCAGCCAGCCAGCCAGCCAGCCAGCCAGCCAGACAGGCAGACAGACAGGCAGACAGACAGGCAGATAGATAGATAGATAGATAGATAGATAGATAGATAGATAGATAGATAGATAGATAGATAGATAGATAGATAGATAGATAGACAGACAGAAGCCAGCCAGCCAGCCAGCCAGCCAGACAGCCAGCCAGCCAGCCAGCCAGGGCAGACAGCCAGCTAGCTAGCTAGCTAGCCAGATAGACTAAACTGAAAAAGGAATGGGTTTTATAATTTGTGAGCCTTATACAGTACAGACGTTTATCCTTGGTCATCACATCTCTTTGTTTTCTTTTTAAAAATATATATACATGTTATTATTTATCTTGCTTCGTGTACATTGGGATGTATTGGTGAAAACCATACATTTCTTTAAAAGATATCGCTGGTACTAAAAGGGCATGGACAATGTTCCCATAACAACAATTACATACTTTGAATGAAAAGTGCAGTTGTCAATGTTTCTCTTTGCTGATGGAATGTACACAGGAACCTTGTCCCAAACTCTAAACCTACAATACAATATTACGAATATAGTCACAGAGTATTCACTGGTTTTGAGCCAACATTTTCAAACATGGATAAATAGCAGTGGGCCAGTGGCAGCTGAGAAGGAGCACTGTATGTCACAGTATGTAAGGTCACTAAAAGACGCGAGAATAAAACGTGCGAAAAGCCCCCAATAAAATAACATTCAAAGTAGTACAAAGGGAAAAAAATCAAATTTGTAAGGATCGAGCCTCCAAGTTAAGGGAAAGAAAGCCAGTGACAGTAATAAGGAATTAGAAAACCATGAGACAGTTATATAAGGAATGAAAAACTGTTCCACACACAGATCTATGTGTAATTACGAAAATAAGGGACAGTTTGCATTTCCTGGTTTTGTTATAGTTTCAGAACGAGTTTTGCAGCACTTGCAATACAACAAGGTCATGCAAGCGTCGAAGATGATAGTTGGAGGTGAAACAAAAGAATTACAATAATAAAAGTGGCGGAGGAGAGATAAGGACGATAGATATTTGATGAGGAAGATGGAGCAAACTACACCAGAGCACCCGCCAACCACCCACCTTGACTTTGCCCGATTTAAGTTAATTACATTTCTCTAGACACAAAGGGTCATTCATTTTTAAAGCTGAGTACTTGGTTTATCGGTGGTAGTAATGAAGAGGCAAGGAAACACGGCTGTGGCGATATATACCGTAGTATACACTACGCAAGCGCACATTAAACAAGCATACTATTATTACATCAAAGTGTCTTATTCTACAACTATAGGAGGAGTTGCATGTCCTGGAGGTGTGCAGTGGGCGTACATGTCGGGCACGGATAACTCGAACACTTTGAGGATTGGCAAATGTGTTTGACACTTTCATAATTCGGGTAGACCGATATAGGCTCCCCCTTTAAAAAAATAAATAAATAAAATAAAATAAATAAATAAATTTAAAAAAAAAACAATTAAAAAAATATCTTCTTAAATTATGAAGAAACATCAGTTGGGAAATGGCAAACTGTACGAGCTATCCGTGATTTCGAGTTTTCTGTGTCCGTGTTATCTAAGTCCGATAGTACTTGTCATGGCCAACCTGGAACGTTTGGGCTGTTACACATACATATGTCTGTTTATTTGAGTGTAAGTGTTAGCACGAGAGGGGGAAGAGTGGAAGAATAAAGGGGAAAAGAACAACCAAAAACAGCACGTGTTTGTGTGTATGCGCGAGAGGTGAACGGGTAGAAAAAGAGAAGAGATAGTCTCCATCGGTTATTCAAAAAAGTCTGTAAAACCGTCATGTTGTACCTGGATTTGTTTTTTACTTTGAGAGGATAGAAAAGAAGCCAAGACCGCGAGTGAAAGACACAAGTAAAAAGACAAAAGCAAGAGGTAACCATGAGATCTGAACATAATGTCTCAAAGCAAGCCAAATACATGAAGGAGTGAAAACATAATTTGGGGGTACATAGTTTCAGTATAGAATGTACGGTGCCAGTTTAACATCCCTCTTAGCGTAGTCATATTTTTCTGACACGAAATTTCATTAAAATCTCCGAAAAAGGAACATTTCAACGGGATTTTCATAGGTTGGTCGTCGCTAATCGCGATGTCGTTTAGCTTTGATTGCGTGAAACGTTAATTTTTTAAAAGAGACAATGACAATTAAGACGATGACAATTAATGAGTAGACACATGTAACCCGGGACAAATGAATACACAATCTGAATAACAGCATCATCAACAGCACACTTCTCCAAGTAATAAACGAGGATTTATGACGCGTTACGTGTGATTCATTCAACACTGTGAATAAGACATGTAGGCTACAACCAAGAGACACAACTAATCCTGAAATACAAACAACTTTTCTAACATTTTTTCATCATACAGACAGCTCTCACAACCAACAACAGAGAACAACGTTTCATGCAATCAAACTACAACATCAAAATAAAATAAAAATTATTTGGAAAAAAAGGGCAAAATTTCACGAAATGCAGCATGTGAGGAAAGATCGATCTATATATTATATTATTATCTTCTCTATAAACGTAAGTTACAAAATAGTGATTCCAAGTACTCTGAAGAATAGATCGGTGTTTACTAATGTCGTATATTTTACAAGGTAATCACAGTGTCAATTGGCTGGCCATTTTGTTAATTTAGACAGTAGGGATCACATCATAAGTAGAGAGTTTGCATCTTTTTTCTGACTTGCGATGTGGGACCCCCCGAGGAATTCCCTGAGGATCCGCCCCTGGTGAAGGAACTTATATCCGAGTCTTTGAAGTCTTTGGCGAGGTGCTTGCGGTGCCCATTGCTGCTTCCTCCGGAATTTGAGTTCGACTCATGGCTGCTCTTGGACCTCGACTGAGATAAACGTTCTCTCTTTTTGTGAGCGTCCGCGCTACTTTTGGACGGCTGGGATAACAGTTTTGCACCTCCACGCTGCTGTTGGGAGGGGGCAGAGATTGCGGTGGACATTCTAACTTGGGAAGACTGGGAGGACGAGACGAGGCCAAAGTTTGAAACGGTGGTCACCCCGTTCTCTGGCTGCGAGTAGCGGCGGGGAGGAATGGGCGGAGGATCAGTGGTGACAGGAGTAGGCGCGGCAACAGTGACAGGTGTGGGAGGAGTCACAGTCAAGGCCACGTCTTTGGGGGCAGCGCTGTTGTTGTCTATGCTTGTTTCACCTTTAGCGTTCACAGAACTTCCTACAGGACTCGGCACTAAATCTGGAGGGCGGGGCGGGAGGGGAGGCGGGACAGCCTTACGAGACTGCTGCGATTGCTCTCTCTGCCTCCCAGAATTTTGCGGGTTCTTTGCTGCATCTCCAGTCATTACTCCATAGACGCTGTCGTTGGTACGCCGCGAGGCCATGTCAAGATCGGAGATAATTTTGCTGGGATCCTGCGGCTGGTACTTGGCGTGGTAGATCACCTTCTCGCCCGCCTCCAGAGCCTTCAGTCTGGCCCTGAACTCGTCCAGTGGCTCGTAAGCCGGCTCCTCCCAATAACTCTCTTCGTCAGAGTCGTAGGAAAACTTGACGTTCTCCGGAGGCGCCCCGCCGTCCCGCACGTAGCCGTACAGATTGTCTATCTCGTCCATAAGACGGTGCTCACGGGTCTTGGACCGAGCGCTTTGCGCTGGAGCTTTGTCTCTGGGGAATGGCACTGAGAAAACATTAGCGTTCGGCGCCCGGCTTCTTCCCTTAGCAGCAGCATCAGGCACTTGAACGATGAGATGCAGTGTGTTGTTATAATTGGTGATCATTCTAGAACATTTGGTCATCATGGTATTGTACAGTTCCGTAGACTTCATAGCTTGCTGGTTCGTTGCCGACACGAGCTGGAGGTTGGCGTCTGTTGGCACAGGCAAAAGCCGCACGTGGTTCTTCTCTATCGGACACACAAACGCTGTCTCGTCGGAGTAGACCCAATCCAAGCGGATGAGGCCCGTGAACCGGGAAGGGTCAACTTTCGGTCGGACCCCTTGGATCAGTTTCACAGTCAACGGGAGTCGAAACCGTCTGATGATGTCTCGGATATTGAAAACTCCTGTGAAATCTTTCTCACCGGCTATAGGAGTGAACATGCCCTTCTGATCAAAACTTAAATACACAAAATCTCCGTTAGTGTCGATACACCGAAGAAGTTTCACCTTTTTGTTCTCCATTCCGGACGGTATAGATAGCTCTCCGTTTAACAAAAGCTGCTCCCCAGCTATCACGATTTTAGTTTTGTCAAACGTGGGTTTACTCTCATCGCTGATAATGTACGCCTTTATGTTTTCTCGGACTAAACACTTCTCTGGCTTGACTTTGGAGAGTTCGATGACGCTACTAATAGGCCGCGCCGACTTGCCATCCTCGGACAGAAGCTCGAACCATCCTTGGTAGGAGATGGGCACAGCGAGACGCTGCTCCACGGCGTACAGTCTGGTGGTTGTGTAGATGTTGTGGTTGCCCCGCCGCGTCACGCTGGTCGCTTCCACGCGCTTCAGACAATGAGCCAGGACCTTGACTCCGACCTTGACGGAGTGGACGAAGACCTCGTGGTGCTGCTTGCTGAGAGAAAATTTGGACGAGCCCAAGGTCATGTAGTTTCCCTTCACAACCTTGGCGAAGCCCGGAACCTGGCGTTTGGAAGGGAAATCTTTCAGGGCTACTGAGTCTCCACCCCAGTCTGGGGTGGGGGACGGGGGAGGTGGTCCTGGACTCGAGCTGAGGTTCTGGGCGACTTCCGGTGACGCCGCCATGATTGCTGTTAAAAATGTTTATTCACGATGCCAGAACTTTGGCATTCCCGACAGTGTATGGTCTGAGGGCGGGGGAAAAGACGGGATCTTGAGAGTAGCTCTTTCAGTCCAGCGTTGTTATACTATCTCACTTCTGTGAAGAAATAGAAGATAAAAAAGGGTCAATACAATTTCCTCTTGAAGAGAGTGTCCATATTTTAAGATGTCTTTCATTAGATCATGATGTGAATAAATGGCAGTAAAATAACGATAGGGGAGAGGGTGGGAGAGAAAGAGAACGAGGTGGGAGAGACACAGGGGAGAGAGAGAGAGAGAGAGAGAGAGAGAGAGAGAGAGAGAGAGAGAGAGAGAGAGAGAGAGAGAGAGACGA